CATTGCAACAATGAATAATACTCAGGGCCGGAAACAATTTTTCTTGGATACTTCTAGTACCTTCGATGGCATAAGCGCAGGATCTTAAGGTTATATCCAACTTACTGAGTGAATCGAAGTGTTTAAGCAGCAATAAGGGAGATCAGTGATAACAATATAGGAAAGGAATGAACTGAATGCTTGCAATCACTGCGATGTTAGCATCCTTAAAACTTTCTGGCTGAAACCGTTTGTGAGGACCTTTCATGGAGCAGGATACGGCACAGGACTGTTTCGACACAAGCCATCGATCACAAATACCTTACAAAGTTAGAGCAAAATCGACTGCTCGAAGAGCAGAGCACTATGCCCACAACGAAAAATCATCTTTTCAAAGTACATGACTGAATACCACTATTTCGGTAGGAAATAAACAAGAAACAACACGTTCACACGACTGCACATCTGTAGATCTGTAAATCAGAGCTTATGGTATATACAACTCTACCTATAAAGAGAAATCAACAAACGGGTCCAAATGGCCCCATAATGGAAATGCAATGAAGACTAAAACCGAACGGCTACCAAACATTGGAACTTTTCTTCTGGTCATCAAAGAAATATCCGCAAAACTATGTCACCAGATACACAGCAAGGCTCTTTAGTAACGACAATGGCAATTACCATGTTATATGTAAAAGTTAAAGGATATGTAAATTGGTTGGGATACAAACAACCTTTCATTATGATTTAAGCTATAAGCAAATGAAAATGGAGAAAAACATAGCCTTTATCTATTCTATGGAATTCCTTTGTATGTATATGTCATATACAGAGAAAGCCAGTAAGAAACATGATGACCACTGATTTGACCGCCAGCATTCTTCGATTTTTAAGTTTATAGATTTATAACCAACAGTTCAGCAGTAACATGATCCATAGGTATAACAATACAGGCATAATAACATCAAATGCAAACAAAAAGACGACAGTTAAGCAAGGAAAAATGGCAGGGTTGACAGAGAGAAAATTAATGTATATCGTTTAGATCAGATCACAAAAGTATCTCGCTTCTCAGTATAAAAATTTTACGATCATCAGGAGGATGGCTACAGTTCAACAACACAGCAACAAACAGAACAAACCTATAAAACATGAAAATATATTCCTATGTTCTGTACCCTGTTCTGTTTGCTGCCATGTTGTTGAATTCCAGTCAATCGCCTCATGATATACCTCAGCTAGGCATACTGAGCAATGGAAAGCAGTCCTTACGAAGCGATGATGATTTCAGGCAGAATTTCATCGAAGCCCTTTTGTTTCTCGCCGTTAACGTTGACGTTGCCAGCAACTGGAAGGATCTGCAACAATTAACGTAGCTGAATTAGCGATGACAAGAAACGTGAAACACAAAGAACTAAACACTAGCCTTCAGTGCGATGGTGCGTTCCTGTAGAGTGACAGCGAACACTTCAGCAAACGAGCCTTCGCCCAGTTTCTCACAGACGATTTCTCTAAAAAGTAAGCACGGAAAATTTTTTCGATATACACCATCAATCAATAGACAGTGAAGCTTACTGTGAAACGAAAATTTCGTGCCAGTCCCATGGCCTTGACTGATGGCAGAAATCGAGGATAAATTGAAAAACAGAAATCCGGCGGTTCTTCTGGTGGCACCGGATGTCATACGAATCGTAATGAATCTGCTGGCACGATGCAGATTTGCTCATATCGTCCTCGCGAAGCTGCCGAAGTTCGGACCAATCAAGGTGTATCGAGGGCATAACGAATAAGTCCTGAGGGAGTACCAAACGCTCGGCACCGCAAAGACTCAAACTGTGTAGCTTGTCACACAATTCGCTCTGATGCAGTGACGTCGATGACGACGAGGGGTCCGTGAAGAGCAATTGCGTAGGGTCTGTATCCAATTCGGATATTTTCACGCCGAACAACTCACGAACCCTCTTAACTGCCCGGTCCATATCTTCTTCGACCGCAGGTTGCGGACTGCCTTCGATGAAAGACAGCTCAGGTTCAGCCGATACTTCAGGCACAATCTGTACCCTGTACGGCGTGCTATGGCCGGTTTGCAGTGACTGGTTCTTGGCTGAAACATTGCCATTGTTGCAGATAGGCAAGAGAGGGAAATTTTCTTTTGAATCCTTCGTTATATGCAGTTCGTATTTTTCTATTTCCTGCAGCTCTTCGAGTTTCCTGAGCACCGAAGAGCCGTAATCAGACGAGTCCTTCAGATGAACAGCCTTTTGCTTTGTTTTAACGGATTTCTGGAATGCACTTATTAAAATTAGGAACATTTTTGTCAAGAAGAGGCTCCAGTAGACAAATTATATTGGATACAACTTCAATTATAACGAGATTATTTACACAACCATATAATCAGAGAATTCAGACAACAAAACGCACAAACCTACAATAGCCGAAAACTTCTCAAAACAGGCGATTGCTTAAGAGGTCAACAGAATGGCAGTGGAAGACAATTCATAAAGACTAGTTGATCAGGAGGCAATCGCTTGACATCTCGTCAGCACGTCGGTACATTCTACTGCGAATAAGGATATATGACGAGTACTTCACAGCACTGATATATAAATACAGCAGCTTGGCATCACTGATTTCATTACAATTTTCCGCTCTGAGAATAACAGGGGCAATACAAATAACAAAACAGTGATAGACAAAATATCAACCTGCCGGTCATAGGAAAAGACTGAGATGAACACTGTTAAAGCCACTAAAATCATAGAAGAGTATCAGTAGAGACCGCTACTTTAACGAAATCTGAACAAAAATTAGAAGTTCAAAGTAGGAACTGAAAACAAAATAATTCGTATAAACAGCTCACCTTCTTACGTTTGGTGGGTAAGTCCCTTCCGAAATGTCCGAGCTCAGTCAAACTTGATGAATCCGTACAACAGCTGAAGCTGAAGAGACACTTCCTATGATACGGTCGCAACTTTGCTTTTGGAGTGTCCATTAGAAAATATATTCTTTTAAAATGTAGGCTTCGGGAAAATGACACCACTTACTCCTGAACTTAGTAATTCGATGGGCTTTATTCTTCCCGCATGTATACTGTATTCGATTAGCACGTAGGTATAATTTTCAAGACGGATATTTGAAAATGTGTTCTTATGAATGGTGAATAACCGCTAGTTTATGCTAGGAACGTTGTCATTAAAACAGAGGGTTTTCGTAAATAATACAAGGTTGCAATCATTCGCAGTTTCTAAATATTTCCAGTTTTGTTGTTACAGAAACAATCGCAGCAATCAGAGTTTTAATCTTTATCACCCCCGTAAATCTCTAGAAGACAATCGTCGTTCTGAGTCTAATTGGACTGGACAAAATATTCAGCCTTCCAGCAATATAGGGGCGGAAGTAAAGTGAGTCACTTGGTTTCTGACATGGTATGACCAAAACGCCTGCGATTAGTTTTCTCCGTAATTTAGCTTTTGCGGCAGATTTTCATGTCGCTAACTCTACCGATAAAATTGCATGTCGCTAATTCCATCGATGAAATGGGGGCAGATAGGTAGACGTTAGACTGTTTGTGTCGTTAACTATTGGGCAATACAAGTTTAATCAATTACTTCATTTAAGAGCACCAATCAACATTT